AAAAGCACCAACACCAGGTTGGGGAAGAACCCAGAACAGGAAAGTTAGCTCACCTGGAAAGGATCTTTCCTGAACTCACAAAACCGAAAATCAGCTGCTTCCCACACTCCCCTGCTCAGCCAAACAGCCTTGTCACCCTCATCAGAGTCCTCTCTGCTGAACGCAGCTTGAGGCCCTTCCTCAGTGCCTGGTGACACCAACTCCTGGCTGATTTCCATGTGTGTGTGTTTAACAAACACACACATTTTTGTTACCTGGTATCCAAAGTGATGGAGGGGTTGGGGATGGGACCTTTGCCAGTGAGGAAGGGGTTGAAAACCGATCAAAACGGGGCAGACTAAAAGGCCGAGTCCCTAGAGCCTGTTAGTCCAGTGCAATGACTGGGGTGCATAAGGGCAACCTTGAGCCATGCAGGACAGGGACGGGTCCCCCCTGCCTAGGATGCACCTTTGCAGGGACCATTCCTGCACTCAAGAAAGCAGGGTGAAGCAGTCTCAAGGCACATTGCAGGTACCATTGCAGCCTGTCTGGCTCAAACTCAACAGCCCAAGTCAGCCCACAGGGCTTCTGCCTGGATCCCAGCACCACCAGGACTCAGGGCCAACCTGTGCACACTTGCACTCCCTTGCCCAACCAAGTTTAACAGCCCTGAAGACCAACCCCAACCCAGGGGTCACATGCTGCCACCTCCTTCATCTCTTCTGCTTGGACTAGAGTGAATTTGTTTTAAACAGAAATATACCTAGATGCCCATCAGCAGACGAATGGATAAGGAAGCTGTGGTACATATATACTATGGAATATTACTCAGCCATTAAAAAGAATTCATTTGAATCAGTTCTAATGAGATGGCTGAAACTGGAGACCATTATACAGAGTGAAGTAAGCCAGAAAGATAAAGACCAATACAGTATACTAATGCATATATATGGAATTTTAAAAGATGGTAACAATAACCCTATATGCAAAACAGAAAAAGAGACACAGATGTACAGAACAGACTTTTAGACTCTGTGGGAGAAGGCAAGGGTGGGATGTTCTGAGAGAATAGCATTGAAACAAGTATACTATCAAGGGTGAAACAGATCACCAGCCCAAGTGGGATGCATGAGACAAGTGCTCAGGGCTGGTGCACTGGGAAGACCCAGAGGGATGGGATGGAGAGGGAGGCAGGAGGGGGGATCGGGAAGGGGAACACATGTAAATCCACGGCTGATTCATGTCAATGTATGGCAAAAACCACTACAATATAAAAAAAAAAAACTAAAATATAAAAAAAAATTCAAAATGCTTTAAAAAAATCTAAAAAAAAAAACCAAACAGAAATATAATCCACATATTGGTCAGCAGTGGCTCGGATGTTAAAGAATCTGCCTCTGATGCAGGAGACCCAGATTCAATCCCTGGGTCAGGTAGATCCAGAACATTTCCACCACCCTGAAAGGAAACCCTGTACCTATTCAGCAATCACTTTTCATTCTCCTCAGACCCCGGCAACCACTAATGTACTTTTTGTCTCTATGGATTTGCCAACTCTGGACATTACGTCTAAATGGAATCATGCCATATGTGTGCTTTGGTGTCTGGCTTCCTTCATTTAGTATAATATTTTCAAAGTTTGCACTACATAATTTTTGCAATAATAGTTACTGACACAGAGCTCACTTGGAGCCAGGTGCTGTGCTAAGTGCTTCATCCATTTGTTCTCGTTTAATCGTAATAACAATCCCATGAGGCAGATGGTGATATTATCCCCATTTTCTAGATGAGGAAACTGAGGCACCAAGAAGTTAAGTGACTTGCCCTGCATCACGGTAGTTCTGGCTGGGCAGGCTAGCTCTGCAGCCCTCTTGGCTGGGCTACTTCTTTAAAAAAAAAAAAAAAACCACAGGCTTTTTTTGGGGGGCCGAGGTATGTGGCACCTTAGCTCCCCAAGCAGGGACTGAACCTGTGTCCCGGACATTGGGCTCAGAGCCTTAACCACTGGACCACCAGGGAAGTCCCTGGGCTACCTCTCTTTAAGGTAGCAGGCACTTGGCTATTTGCCAACACGCTCATCGCAAATTCTTCACCACATCTCACATTTCTGGGACCTGCTCCACCCCTGGGTATATCTGCATTTACAATCCCTCCTTTGCTTATGCAGATAAACCTGAATTCAAGTCCAAAACCTTACTTGACCACGTGTTTTTCATCAGAGCTATGGGTTACCACTCAGTTACTTTTCAAGGCTGTATGCAAACAGCCACTGTGGGGTAGTTAGGAAGTGTAAATGTGTGAGGCACTAAGGGCCTGGCACATGGAAGACACGGGGGGAGTGGAGCCTTTGTGCGACTGTCACCCACCTGTACCACTGAGATCCTTCTCCCAGAAAGTCAAAAGCACAGCTTCCCATTTCTGTCGGTACAGACAGGTGACATACCTGTCCTCAATTTCTCAAAACTAGTAAAATACACAGCGGACTAAAAACCCATCAGTAAAAAAAAAAAAAAAAAAAAAATCAGTAATTAAATTAAAACAGGAATGCCTTGTTAACCGCCTTCTCAATTCCGGGGGCTTAAAGTCTGTCTTGACATGTCAGAGCCTGGAAGGATTTCACACATTGTTTCGAGGTTCTGAGCATTTTCTGAGTCCTGCCGGGCTCTCTAAATCACACTTCATTACTGAGGACCAGAACCAAGAAGAAAATGGCTCTTGGGCAAGCCCACCTGATCCACCACTTTGGGGCTTCCGGAGAGTCAGTGGGGACCTGAGACCAGCTCTGAAACTGAAAGTGCTTGGATCTCCCGAGGGGACCACCAATGCAAAACCCAGATTTTTCACCTTGTTCTGCACAAAAGAACCAGGAAACTGAGTCCCTACCTTGAAACAAAAGATTGTTCTGGTTCAGCATTAATTAAAATGTAAAAAGATCTCTAGGAGGCCATTCTAAGTGGGTGGGATCCTGGGTCTCCAGGGGCCTCTCATCTGGTAAGCGGGGATAATACCTAAGAAGCCAAACTCCTGGGGCAGTTAAATATATATATATATATATGTATTTATGAAGTGTGTATATATATATACATATATATATATATATGAAGTGGTACACAGCAAACACTCAGGAGATGGGAGCTGATGGAAGCAGGGCTGCAAATTTGAGGTGACACATGCCTGGTTCACTCAAGATACCTTCCTGAGTTGTTAGGCATTATACTGATGAGCAAACTGGATGAGCAAACCAAGCCACGTTCTGGCTTTCCCAAGGGCACTTGGCCTGTAAGGCGTAGGAGGGCCGCCTCCAGGTGTAAAGGTATTATGCCTAGCGATTAAAAGCAAGAACTGGAATTAGACAAGCCTGGAATCAAATTTCAGCTCTGCCACCTGAGGCAAGTTACTTCACCTGTGTGCCTCTGCTTCTTCCTCTGTAAGCAGGTTGCACCCCTTCACAATTTCCTCCACCACTCTATAAGTCACCCAGTGTAACCCATAATGGTGAAAACCTGAGGTCCGATCATTTAAATTCCTCATCTTCTCAATGTGCCTACCATGTTGAAGACTTGCAGAAGACAGCCTTGAAGGCAGTATCCTTTTTCTAACTTTTGGGCTTCCACTTCCAGCTGTTCCATATCATCAGATGCACGTCAATCAAGTGATCAAACTTTTTTGCCACAAATGGATCATAAGCAAAAATAAAAACTGTAACTCCAAAGGAAAAAATGAAACAAAAGTCAACAATCCTGTAATCTGCTTTGTTTTGCTTCACTGTGCTGACAACATAATATATAGACTATGATCAGTCTGTGCTCATTTTCTCCCCCACCAAGACGTCAGCTCCACAAGGACAGAGCTTGAAGTTGGTCCACTGCTGCAGCATCTGTGTCTAGAATGGCACCTTTGTAGAATGCTGAATGGTTCTTCTTGTCTACACTCCAGGAGGGTTGACCACATGAGAAACATTTCTGTATCTTTTGCAAAACTGCCTTGGACTGTCTACTGTTTTCCAGTGTTGCTTATAAGTAAAATAACCCGCACTAGAATGCAGTTATAGGACACGATTTTGTTTTTGCTGAGCTCATGTGTTTTTCACTAGCTTAATCTGCCTTTGTGTCAGGAGAGCTCAGAGCACAATTCTGCGCTCAACTCCAATGTTTTCCTCAACGTCTTTTTCTTAAGTGGAAATGAGATAAGCAAGCGTAAGAACATTCTGCTGGGACTCCTTGGCGACCATTTTTAACCACAGGCTGCATTTATTTTAAGATGCTTGTCAAACTTGAATGTGCCTGTGACCCGGGGATGTAGTAAAAGCAGAATCTGACTCAGTAGGTCAGGGGCGGGGCCTGGGATGCGGCATCCCTCACTGGTCCCAGGTGATGCTGCTGCGGGTCTTGGACCATGTGATGAGTCGCGAGGGTCTAAGAAACTTGCTTTCTTGATCTGGTAGACTTACTCTCTCCTCCTGCACAAAACATTACCAATGGCTCGAAAACTGAAACAGGTACCAGAAGCAGCTGCGGGTGCTCGTCAGACTTCCACACTGCCGTTCCCTGTCCACCCACCCCCCATCCCCGCCAAGATCTGACAAAGTACGAGCAAGCACCGGAGGCTTCTCGGGTGCTTCTGATGCAGGTGGCCAAGAAACACCTTTGGAGAAGCCTTGCTCAAGGGAACAAGTGCTCTCTTCGTTTTCCCAACGGCAATCTCCCGGGGACAGCTGCTGTCACTGGTGGAGACACCCTGTTCAAGATTTTAAGGAGGGACTCTCCCGCTCTTTGTAGCCGGGCACCAGGAGGGGTCCGGGTCTCTCCCCACCCACCACAGGGGTCACGGCAGGGTCGGCCCTCTGCTCGCACCCCTACCCCAAAGTCCCGCACAGCCCCGCCTGCCCGCCGGCGGCCTCCGCAGCAGGCCCTCGGGCGGGGGCCGCGCCGCTCATGCGCACCACCGGGCCCTCGGGGCGCCGGCCCCCAGCCCCGCCGGCCTACAGGGCGGGGACCCCGCGTGACCCCCGCCCGCCTTACCTCTCTGGACAAGAGTGGCCAAGGAGAAAGCGAGGCAGATGAGGCACGCCCAGCGCCAGGCCACCATGGCTGGGAGCCGGCGGACGGGGCCCAGAGGCGCACAGTGAGCGAGAGAGAGCCCGAGGGGGAAGGTCGGGGAGGAGTAGGGAAGGAGGAGGAGGAGCAAAAGGGGGAGGAGCCCTGCCCTCACTGCAGGGCCCCGCCCAAAAGTGGCGCGCGCGCGCGGCGCGGCCCTGGGAGGGCGGATGGGGGCGCGCACGAGCTCTGGCGCCGGGGCGTGCCGGACCGGGTGAGGTGGGTAGGGGCGTGGTCCACGGGCACCCGGCAGGTCGCGTGGTCTGGGTCCCGGCCAGCGCCGGCGCGCGACCTGCTAGCCCCGTCACACCCCGCCCTCGAGAAGGGAGTCTTCGAGATGGGCCTTGCGGCCCTGGAGCTGTGAGTCAAAAGTGACTGGGGACTCCAATTAAAATAAATTATTTAATTAAAAAAAATTTTTAAGTGACTGGGGAGCCAGAGGCGCCGGCGTTGAATGTGTGCAGTGGTTTCCACCCGGCGCGCTGGACACCTCCAGGGCCAGGAGCTGGACCCGAGGCGGCGCACGAGCCTGGTGCGTTCTGCCTGGTGACCTTGGACAGGGCTCTTCCCCTTGTGGCCTTGGTGTCCTCCCGGTCAAGAGCTGTTCCCTAGGGGTCCCTCCAGCTGCGGCGCCAGGACCGGGCACCCGCGCTCCTGCCCCTGTCACCTTGGCCGAACTTGCTTGTCAGAACCGTGGCTGGAAACGAGCCTGAGGCTGGGGGCCGCGGGTTCAGGCTAGAGGGAAGTTGGGGGGCGACCTGCAGCCAGCGCGCCGCAAGCCCCGGGGACGAAGGAGGGCCAGGGTCAGCTCCCCGAGGCTTTGATGAATGCGTTGAACGCGCCAGTTCACATCTGCAGAGGCGATGTGTAAACGTGCTCAGTGATCGACATACGCGCCGCGTTCCTTTCCCATGAACCCCTCAAACAGAGTCCATCTCCAGGACCTGGCAAAATCAGATTCCTACACTGACTGTCACAGCAAAATGCCAGGTGCAGCCTTTGACGAGAGCGCTCTCAAGAAAGGCTTTGGATGCAGCCAGCTTTCAAAGACAAAGAGAAAGCGCCGCTGCTCCCAGAGTCGTCTAGCTTGTCCCTGCTGTTATTCAGCACAAGCTGTCCCGGACCACATCCTGCTGGGGGTCAGCTACTGCCATTGCCCTCCAGTGTCCCCTTGGTAGGCTTCCTGTGTCCCCCACCAGGCCGCACCTCCTTGCCCTCCCCCCAGAGTCTTCTCCCACCCTCTGAGCCATAGTGCTTGGGTGGGGGTCTCCCTGACATGGAGCCAAGATCTTTCCTTCTGTGACTTCTATCCATTGCTCTGAATTCTTGGGCCTGCAAAAACAAAACATGTAAAACTAACACATTCTGACTTTCAAGGCATTTCGTACTCTATGACACTGGCAGGAGAATTAACAGAAATAGGTAGTGCTTATTATAACACACACCGTATACATGGCATATTCCAGGCATTTAATTCTTTTTAAAAAATTAATTTAGTTGGCATGTAGTTGCTTTACAGTGTTGTGTTAGTTTCTGCTGTATAGCAAAGTGCATTAGCTATATGTATACATATATCCCTCTTTTTGGGGTTTCCTTCCCATTTAGATCACAACAGAGCACTGAGGACAGTTCCCTGTGCTCTACGGTAGGTTCTCACTAGTTACCTATTTTATACATACTATTGGTGGTGTATATATGTCCATCCCAGTCTCCCAATTCCTTCCATCCCCCTTCCACTCTGTACCCATACATTTGTTCTCTACATCTGTGTCTCCAGCTTTGCTAATTAGATCATCTATACTGTTTTTCTAGATTCCACATATATGAATTAATATATGATTTTTGTTTTTGTCTTTCTGACTCGCTTCACTCTGTATAACAGTCTAGGTCCATCCACGTCTCTAGAAATGACTCTGTTTTGTTCCTTTTTGTGGCCGAGTAATATTCCATCATATATATATATATATATACACATATACAATATTGTGTATATATATATATATATATATATATCACATCTTCTTTATCCATTCCTCTGTTGATGGACATTTTGTTATTTTTTATTCCTACAACAACTTCATGTATCACCTCAATAATTAATGAGGGAAAAGGAGCAAAATGGAGGTTCCTTGAGGTTGGAGAGTTAAGCAGCTCCAGACCCTTAGTGTCAAAGGGATCAAGGGAATCCCCAGGGCCCCAGCAGGTGAATGGCTGAGCACATGTGCTTGAGAGCCATGTGCAATCCTGGCTGGACACAAGGACATAAGGTTGTGCTAAGGATTAAATCAGATTGGAAAGCAGGCAGCCTGGGACACACTGAGCCAATATGCTACTTGTTACTCTTGTAATAGCTAAAGAAATACTGGCTACCATGAGGTTGGGTACTTGCTCTGTATTCCAGGATGCGAATATGGCCCCAGCTTTCCCACTAACTCTGGGTGCCTTGAGCCATTCCCTTGCCCTCAGTCTTCAGGGATCCTGCCTATAAGGAAGACACTAGACATCATGGTCTTTTGGAGCCCTCCAGGCCCTAATGGGTGAACCTCAGCACCTACACACTTATCTACACTGAGGACACTTGAGGAGGTGAGGAAAATGCAGCCTCTAGGTGAGACATCTGAATCAAACGCAGCTGGGGCTCTAACTGGTCTAACTGGTCTAACTAGGCTCTAACCTCAACTCCAGCAGCAAGTCATTGGCCACAGTGAACAGGCAAGAGGACTGTCTTCTAGCTCAGAGGTGCTTGGCACACTGGCCTGTGGGTCAAATACAGACCACCATCCTGTTTGTATGACCTGCAAACTAGGAATGGTTTCAGTTCAGTTCAGTTCAGTTCAGTCACTCAGTCATGTCTAACTCTTTGTGATCCCATGGACTGCACCATGCCAGGCTTCCCTGTCCATCACCAACTCCCAGAGCTTGCTCAAATTCATGTCCACTGAGTCAATGATGGTCATTCAAACATCTCATACTCTGTCATCCTTCTCCTCCTGCCTTCAATCTTTCCTAGCATCAGGGTCTTTTCCAATGAGTCACTTCTTTGTATCAGGTGGCCAAAGTATTGGAGCTTCAACTTCAACATCACTCCTTCCAATGAACGTTCAGGACTGATTTCCTTTAGGATTCACTGGTTGGATCTCCTTACAGCCCAAGGGACTCTAAAGAGTCTTTTCCAACACAGTTCAAAAGCATCAATTTTTCAGCACTCAGCTTTCTTCATGGTCCAACTCTCCTGTCCATACATGACCACTGGAAAAACCATAGCTTTGACTAGACAGACCTTTGTTGGCAAAGTAATGTCTCTGCTTTCTAATATGCTGTCTAGGTTGGTCATAGCTTTTCTTCTAAGGAACAAGCGTCTTTTAATTTCATGGCTGCAGTCATCATCTGCAGTGATTTTGGAGCCCAAGAAAATAAAGTCTGTCACTGTGTCCATTGTTTCCCCATCTAATTGCCAGGAAATGATGGGACTGGATGCCATGGTCTTAGTTTTTTGAATGTTGAGTTTTAAGCCAGCTTTTAAGCCAGGAATGGTTTGGGCACCTTTGAGTGGTTGAAAAAAATCAAAAGAAGTTTATTCCATGACAGGGGAAATTTACACGAAATTCACGTGTCAGGATCCATGAGATTGGTGGGAACACAGGTGGGAATTCATTTATGTACTATCTACAGCGGTTTTTGTGCTACCACAGCAGAATTGAGTAGTTGTAACAGAGACCATGGAGCCCACACAGCGTAAAATACTACTTCTCCCTTTACATAAAAAAATGTGTCACCTCCATTCTAGCAGGTTGAACTATGCCAAGGATGAATAGGTGATGATGCAGAGCCTAAAGATTGTGCTCCTGTAGAGCAGATGAGCACAGGAGCTGACACAGAAACAAGAACCAACAGAAAAGGATCATGTTTATCATGTGCAAAAAGACACCCACTCAAAAACAAAACAAAACAAAACAAAAAACAACAGGTCTTTAGTCAAAATACTGCAAATGTCCAAGGTTAGTTATCCTGCCAGATAACTTTCCCTGTGTAAAATAACTCATCTGAGGCCTGGTTTGTCTCTCACTCTCTTATAAGATAGGTTAGTGTAAGTCTGAGAGAGCTAGGGACATCAGGTCCTGATCCTGCTGTGCTGAGGTCCTCCCTGGAACTTGGAGAGCCTCTTAAGTAGCTGCTCCCCTATAGAATTGCAATTGATTGTGGACTTGGTTTACATCCAGGAAATTCTAAATTCAGAAACCATGAGCTGTGGCCCCCCATACACAGGCACACACACACTCCCCACTGCCACTGCACATGGGTGCTGGGACCAGTTCCTGGCCAACTTCTTGTATCCTGCAAATTGTCACCAGTTGTAAAACCATTTGGGCTGACAAGCTCCTCTCCTAAAAAGCCCACCTTTCCTCAGCACTCACCCAGGCAGAGAAATGTGACATGAACAAATGGCTACCAGGCTCGTCTGGGAGTACAGGAGAGGCACAGAGAAAGTTGGGAGGGTGTACATTAATCTGAGCTAAGTAGGGTTCTAAGGGCAGCCTGGTCCTCCATCATGGCTCACCCTCTGTCCCCACCCTCATTACACACTATATCTTTAGGGAGATGTGTTCCAAACTCCAAAACAGCTGTTCTCTCACTATTATTAGTGCAGAGCTCCTGTTCTTGCTTCCAAGTGCCACAAACTCCTCCTTGCAAAATTCCCTGAGGGGGAATTTTGACCCATGGTCAAAATTAAACCCACCTGGTGACATCTGCCCACCAGGGCTCTGGAATGGCCTTGCCATCAGCTCCATCCCTGTTGAAGGTGCCTGTCTCGAAAGTACCACTGTCTACATCAACAGTACCAATTCCTGATCCTTGGGGCACCAGACTGGAGAGGGAGTCCACATGATGGGCAGGGACAAATGCCTTGCCCCAACCCAGGGTCACCCTTTGGCCCCAGGACCCAATGCAGCTCAGCCTGTGCTCAGGACGTCAACAGCCCTTCTGTCTGCTTCCTCTCCTCCCACAGCCTGGGTCCTAATCCCTTTAACCAAAGTAGTTTGAGGGCCCCGACTG